TAAGCTATTTCCCCCAAATTGAAACTTTTCCCCCTAAAAAAAAAGGGGGGGGGATAAAAAAAAAAAAAAAAAAAAAAAAAAAAAAAAAGCAATGTTTCTGAACCTGGGTTATTCACCCCTATGGGGTCATTTAGCAAATTGTCCTAACTAGGGAGGGGAGGCAGACCTGGCACCTAATATGCAGAGGCCAGGGATGCTGGTAAACATGTTGCGTGTACAGGGAAGACCCCACCAACCAAGATCCAGCCAAACCAAAATAACAAGAGTGCAGAAGACGAGAAACTCTGGCCCAAGATCTTACAAACCGACTTCAGCTGTGACCCAGTCTCTCTGACAGAGCCCCATGTAGGTGAGGACAGGATCCCCGCCCCCATTTCAGAACTCCTATGAAGAGTTTTCTCTCTACGCACTGTTTGCCATCAGGAGACAGTACAGCCAGGGACTGGAATCCAGTCCCTTTGACTGCTGAGTTCTGAGACCTGGAGCAAGCCACTGAGCCTCTCTGTGCTTCCCTCTCCTGTCTGGAAAGCAGGAATAATCACTGCTGCATAGTAAGGCTTATATAAAGTGGTGGCTTCTGCTGTCTTCTCATCCCCCAGGTGACCATGACATCATCAGAGCCTCCTTCCATCACTGGAGTAGTCAAACAGGCCTCTCTTGAATGGTGATCAGCTAAGAAGCTTGCTGCCTTGGGCAGTAAGCCATGCCCACCCATTCTGGGCACCAGACCCCTCTAGAGATAGAGGTCTCCCCCGGTCAACTTCCCAACACTTACCAACAGGGTCCACAAGGTCAATGTGGTCCACAAAGTCCCGCTTTCCCAGGTAGACAGTGAGCTGGGAAGGACAGGCACAAGGGCGTTAGAGGTTATAGGCCATGAAAACACAGGCCCCTGCCCTGGAACTGCCACAGATAACCTAGACTCATTCCTACCCCTTATTAGAACCACAACAAGATGTGCAGCCTCACCCTAACCCTAATATTAATGATAGCCAAACTTTAAAAAAGTTTTAAAACACCTCTGCCTCCCAAAAGCCTTGAAAGAGTTATTATTATTCCCATTGTTCAGAAGAGGACACTGAGGCCTGGGGATGTCTTCAGACCAAGCACCATTGAGGGTGGAGCTGCAACAAAGCAGGTCAGGAGCAGGAGAGCCAAGCCTCCTGGGGAGGGCTGAGAGACCAGACAGGCCAATGAGGCCAGGCACTCAGTGCAGATGCTAATGCTGGGTCTGAGCTCTTCAGCTGCTTCTCCCTGTGCCAGGCAGAAAGCCACTTACATGAAGACTTGCTTCCCCTGGTTACCAGCCAACAGGGCAGAGCCCTGAGCTAAAGCTCCAGTGTCTCAAAGCTGAACTAAGCATCCCCCTAGATACTCCCTGCTCCTCAACCATCCCTCAGTCCTGACCATTCTACCTCCACCACATTTCTCAAGTAGACCACATTAGCCCCTTGACATTCTACAGCCCCATGGGCTGTAGACTGATCACTCCATCTTAGCCACACCTTAAATGCAAATCTAACCTAGCAGCTGCTTCAGACAGCTGAGCCTATCTGGAAATCCTTTAACAGTTCCTCTGTGCCTGGGGGTAAGGGTAACAAATGGGTTTCATTCTAAGGATCAAGTCTAATTGACTGGTTGGGGCTGGATTGCCAAGGAATCCAAGATGGGATTCTGGCACAGAAGGAAAGGGTGAAAGGTGATTAGTGGTGTCTTCTGTGGGCACTGAATAGAGATATGGAAGTGTACATGATGCTACCTGCCAACTCAGGGTGCATGAGTTGTTAGGCCTGGCTACAGGACTCCTGCCACGGAGCCCAGTATCTTCCCCAGCTCCACTCCCTCTGCCCCACACTCCTTTGAATTTTATACTTCAGCCTAGAATGCCCTTTTAGCCATGGTGACCAACCCTGGGCATCCCAGAATCTCACACTTGGCACTTCATGTAGGGATGGCCGACGTCTGTGCCGATGAGCACTGTGCCTGATTCATCTTAGTATACCCTCCCTAATCCCCACAGGGCCTGACCCAGACCTGGCACAGAATGTCAGTAATGTGTATTTGCTGAATAGAGTGCAAAAGCAGGATAGATCCTGGGGCCTGTGGGAAGGAAGAAGGAAGCACAGACCCTGGGAGCCCCTGGAGAGTGAAGGGACAAGGTGACACCATGATCTCTCACCCCAAGGGACTCTGGACCACTGGTCTGTATTTCTCACGCCCACACTTATGTCTCTCCAGGGCAGGCCACGCCATCGCTCCCCAGCCTGGAATCCCAGAAGTCCACATACAAAGCTTCCAGGGAGGGCCCCTCCCCGTTTGGATTAAAGGTTCCTGAGAACAGAACCGTGTCATCCCCAGGCAGTGAGCAATATCTGCCTTTCCCTTGGGAACACTTTTTCCTCTCCTGGCTAACAGAGGACCCCAGAGTGTGGACCCAGGGAGGAGCTGGTGTGCACCATTGACTCACCTTTCCATTGGGGCTAGCCTTCTTGAACACTCTGTGGAGAGAAAGAGAGGTTAGTGGGTTCTGTCCAGGCAAGATCCTGCAGGCCAGCCTGAGGAAGGGCCTCAGACTAGGGCCTGGAATGTCCCATAGGTACCAGCTCAGCGTGGAGAGCAGGACAGCTCCTGTACTTTCACCACTCCCTCCTGGGATGAACCCCAGCCCCCTGCAGCCCTTCTCCAGTCCTGCACACAGCAGGCTGAGGGAGCCTCACAAGTCCAGGCTGGCACAGGAAAAGCGTCAGGTGCCCATGAGGTCCCAGTAATCTGGTCCCCTCTCCTCCCCATCCCTGAGTCACCTCCTGTCACTCTCCCTCACTCCTCTCCAGCCACACTGTTCCTTGCCCTTCTTCACCCCACAGGAAACAGGGGGGCGAGGGGGGGATTCTGTGCCAGGCCTTTGCTCTAGCAGTTTCCCTGAAGCCCCTCTAGCCCCATGATACTCTCCCCAAATATCCACTTACCCAAATCCACTGCCTTATTTGCTGCTTCAACCTATGCCCACCTAGCCCCCAATTCCCTTGCTTCATTCTTCCTGTCTCCCCCAACACCCATCTAACCTTCCCCAGGCTTTGTCCATTCCATGCCTGGTCTGCCTGCCCCCTACCATGCCCACTCCATGGGAAGGGGAAGACTCTTTTCTCCCCTGTCCGTTGATACAGTTCAATCTCCCATAAAGGCACACCTAACTTGTTCAATAAATATGTATTAATGATGGCAGGTGGCAAAAGATCAATAAATATTAGTTCTATTAAAAAGGCAAATGAATGAACTGCCTTGTTTCACTTAGAGAGACATAGGAAAGCTGGGGAAGATCCCTGTGGACACACAGCAAAATACTGGGCATGAGGTTAGACAGCAATGTAGTCCCTGGATCCTGAAAAGTGTCACTTGCCTTCTACAGCAACTCTTTCCCTTTCCCAGAGCTGTCTGGGAGCCTGAGGCCCCCTCACCTACCCACCATCATCCAGTCCACAATTTCCCAGTTACTATTGTGGGGGATAGAAGAAAAGTGAAACACCGAGATCCAGAAATGAGAAAAGGTGTTGGAAGATGGAAGGGAGGTGGGAAAAGAAAGGGCGGAGAAGAGGAGGGGAGGGGAGGGGAGGGGAGGAAAGACATGCAAGTATGAAAATAAAAGATGAACAAAAAATGGGAAAAAGAAAACCAGAGAAGAAAATAGAAACAGTTTGAAGCAGAAAGAGATCGGACAGACTAAGGAAGATGAAACAGGTTCACAAGGCTCAGAAGACCTGTACCAAGAGACCTGTGCCCAGACCCTTCTGGGAAGGGGGTCCATAGCCATCCACGGTGGTGACTCTGTGGGATCTTCACAGCAACAGCCCTACCTCACCCTCCCTCCTGGGACCTAGGGAACATTGTTAGGTCTCAGCATTGCTTGCCAAGAAGAGCTTGGCCCAGCCCTCCCCATCACCACGCCCGCTCCCCTCAGGGCCCTGAGCACCTCTCCTCCTCATCAATATTTATCAGTTGGGAGTGTGAAGATGCCACAGTTGGCTGGGGTGTGATAACTGCTAAAGTTGGGGGGGGGGTGGGGACAGATCACTAGGTCTGAACCAACATCTCCAAGCAAGGAGTTAGGAACTCCACGCTTGTCTAAGAGAGCAGAGAACTGAGACCCCTGTGGCTTCCAAGTCTCACACACCTCCAGCCTTTGGTAACCCAGGGTTTGAGGGAAAGGAAAGACCACACGGTATAAATAATAGAAAGGGAAAGCCATTCCAGTGGCTGCTGGAAGGGGTGGAGGCACCCAGGCACACCAGTGGGACAGTAATCACCATGGGAAGAAAAGAGTATGGGAGGGAAGGAGGGAGAGAGGGAGGGTAGAAGGTTTATTGAGCACATAATTATTTCTCATAGCAGCATTGTAGAATGGAAATTATAACTCCCATTTCAGAGATAATTAACTTGAGTCTCAGAGATACATTAATTTGCCCACGAGCACAGCAAGCAAAGGGCTGGGTCAGGATCCAGACCCACTTCGCTCTGAGCCCCCAGAGGCTGGTGCCTTAATCCAACTGTTTCCTAAAGCCGGAATTTTAGCAAGAGCAGGAGGAACAAGAGAGAATGAGGACCAGAGGGGAGGGGGAGGCAAAGAGAGAGAAAGGAAAGGGTGATTGGGGTAAGGGACAGAGTGGGGGTGTCAGGGGCAGGAAGTACAAGCCAGCTGTGGGGAATGTCCTGCCACCACCTGAGTCAGCACCGGGGGTCACCTCCTTCAGGAAATGGGGACTCTGGTAGCTTCCTCAAACAACAACAGCAGCTGTCGCTGTTTGTTATTCTCAATCAAGCCTTGAAGTTATTTTTCCCAAGACAATGCTGATCCTAAACAATCCCATTTTAAAGATGTAAGGATTGAACCTCAAAGAGGCCACCCTGGTCTTTCAGAGCCCACATCCCAGCCAGCCATGACACTGCCAAGCTCTCCGGTAAACTTCCTCAGCTTCTGACCCCTAACACTGTCAGAAAAGAGGCTCTCCATGGGGTACTCTCAGTTTCCCAGGATTCCATGTGTGCAACACCAACCAGAAGGCTCTGTCTATGCACGCACCAACGTAACCTAAACCCGTGATCGCAGACAACCTTGCAGGTGTGGGCGGCTGCATCTGGTTCATCCCCAGTTCTGCCTGTGTCCCACAACCTGAGCCTCAGTCACAGTTAGGTTCCCCAAGGAGAAATACCAGCCATCTCCTTTCTTAAGGCTCAGGATAGCTCAAGAGAAAGGGGGGTCCTAATAAGGAGGCCAAAGTCTCACGGGAAGGATGCGCAGGCAGGACGTGCTGGGGCTGGAGCCAGGAACGGGGACGCCATCAGGAGCCTCAGGCCTTCGCTCCAGGTCTCCACTGCTCCTTCTGGGGCTGCAGGTCCTGCTGGCCGCGCGGCTGTCTGTGCGGCTGCTCCATTGTCTCTGTGGACCAGCTCGCCTGCTTACTCAGGGCTTTTGTGCTCCTCCATCCTTTGGGCTCGCATGTGACTCACACTCCAGCCCTGTTTCTACCCGGCCTCTCACTCAGCTTCCCACTGCTAACTGACTGAATGGCCCAATTCCAAATTCCCAGGAGAGGAATCTGATTGGTCAGCTTTGATTAGATGTCCTACCTTGGTCCAATCACCTATGCCCAGGGTATACCCTGTAGTCTGTGAAGCATGAAGAGAAAAGGGTCTGTAGGTTAGTATTATCAGAATCAGGGGTCACAACCCACTAATTGATAAGAAAATCAACTTAAAATATTGAGGGGGAGATGGCTCAATGGGTAAAGCACCCGCTGACAAGCATAAGGATGTGGCATGCACATTTGTAACCCCAGCAATAGAAAGGTGGAGACAAGAAGATCCTGGGGGTGCTCTCTTGCCAATCAGTCTAGCCTAAATGGCAAGCTCCCGGTTCAGTGAGAGGCCCTGTCTCAAAAAATGTGAAGAGGCCGGCGAGATGGCTCAGCAGGTAAAGGCACATATCACCAAGTCTGATAACCCGAGTTCAATCCCTGGGACCCACATGGTGGAAAGAGAACTAACTCTGGAAATGCTATCTCCATAAACACATTGCAGTGCATGTATACACACACACACACACACACACACACACACACACACAGGAGGGATGGCGAGAGGGAGGGAGAGAGGAAATTTTTTAATTTATATAAATGGTGGACAATAGAGGAAGATAACCAAAATTGACCTTTGGCCTCCACATACACACACAGGTGAGTCCATCTGCATCACACTAAAGATTTTTTGGTTTTAAGGAAACAGAATAGAACAGAGTATATAAGCACACACTGCATGGTGTAAAGACACAATAAGTATGACTAGAGTCACTGTGTTCTGTTTCCCTCTAAGGCCGGGGATATGGAGAGATCGAGCAGCTCTACTCTAGCACACCCATGTGGTTTGCTCTGGTTTACAAAAAGAAAGTACAAGTACCACTTGTCACTTCTAGGCAGATGCACTGATGAACTGGTACATAACCCCCCAGGCCCCTCATGTTCACTTCCTATGGCTGCAATTACAACACTCCACAAATTCAGGCTCTTCAAGCAGAATTTCAGAAGTTCAGTAACCTTCTAGGGCTAATATCAAAGTGTTCTTTCTGAAAGTTCTAGGGCTGAAACTGCTTCCCTGCACACTCTGGCTTCCAGAAGCCCCTTTCCTGTCTCAGTCTCCTTCCTCCACCTCCCAAGCCAACAAGAGCAGATGGAGTTCCTAGTACATGGTATCACTCAGATCTCTTCTGCCTATCTCTTCTGCTGAAAGACCCTTGAGATGACATTGGATCCAGCTGGGTAATCCAGAAATGATCTCTCTGTTTTAAGGTCAGCTAACTGGCAACCTTGACCCCATCTGCAACCATCTTTACCCTTTGTCATGTAGCACCATTTAGAGGCTGCAAGGATTAGGGCATGGATGTCTTTGAGGAAGCATTCCTTTGCCTACCAAGCTGTCTTCTTCCTCTGCTGAAATCAGCAATGTTCTGGCTTCTCTCCTACATGGCAGCACTTGAGTCTTATCAGAGCCACGATTTTAAAACATAGAATCCCGAGGCATTTTGTGGCTGCAGTAGAGCAGCTAGTTGGTACCTAACACAGGGAATAAGTTGATCCCAAAATTCGTAGGGAAATCACAGACCAGGATTGCCAAAACAGTCTTGAAAAGAATAGAACCAATTTGAGAGACTCAAACTTCCCAACTTCAAAACTTACTGCAAAGATGCAATAATTAAGATTGAATGGCACTGACATATAGACATATAAATCAATAAAAGAGAATTGAAAGGACAGAAATAAACCCATATATTTATGACAATTGATTTTTGACAAGGAAGCCAGGACAAGTCAATGGAAGGAAAGAACAGTACTTTTTTTGTTCTATGTAGCTCAGGCTGGCCTCAAATTCTAGGCTTTCCTGCCTCAGCCTCTTCAGTGCTGGGATCACAGGTGTAAGCCCCCATACCTGCTAGAAGGTCTTTTCAACAAAT